CTGCGAATGAAATGTCCGGCCTAGTATTGGCTAAGTAGATAAGTCTACCTACCAATCTTTGATAAACTGTCGGATCTTTCAACTCCTCACCTTCAGCAGTAAGCTTCAGGTTTGGAATCATAGGTGATAATGCCGGTTTGCACCCCAACATCCCAGTGTCTGAAAGAAGATCCAAAACATACTTTCTCTGAAAAAGAACAATACATCTGCTTCTACGGGCAACCTCAATCCCAAGAAAGTATCGCAGAAATCCAAGATCCTTCACATCGAAGGCCTTCCCAAGGTCTATCTTGACCTGCGCAGTCCCAGAAATATCATCAATAGTAATAATAATATCATCAACATATACCAGAAGGATGACACACTGTCCAGAAGTATTCCGTCGAATAAAGTAGGTATGATCAGAATGACACCTGGTGAACCCCAATCGTATGACTACATCACTGAAGCGAGAGAACCAGGCTCGTGGCGACTGTTTCAGTCCATAAAGAGACTTACGCAGTCGACATACCTTTCCAGCATACTCCCCCTCACCACGAAAGCCCGATGGTGCATCCATATAAATAATCTCGTCCAGATCACCGTGAAGAAACGCATTCTTCACATCTAATTGATGAAGAGGCCAAGAGTACTCCGCAGCCAGAGAAATAATTAACCGAACAGTAGTCAATTTTGCCACGGGGGCAAATGTAGCACCAAAATCACGACCTGGTACCTGAGTAAAGCCCTTCGCCACAAGTCTAGCCTTGTAACGATCAATAGTACCATCTGCCAGAAACTTCAGGGTGTAAACCCAGCGACAGCCAACAAGCTTCACCCCTGAAGGTAAGGAGACAAGATCCCATGTATGATTACGCTGAAGAGCGTCCATCTCTGTCTGCATGGCAAGAACCCACTGGGACTCCCGCATAGCTTCCGAAATAGAGCGAGGAACCAGCGTATCTGATAAGGCCATAGTATAAGCTCGAAATGTGGGAGACAGATTACCATAAGAAACATAAGCAGAGATCGGATATAAAATCTTGGCGGTCCAACCATATCGATCAACTGGACGGCGATCACGCCTTGGATAACGACGCCCTAAATCACCATCCTCTACTGATAATATCTTATCAGGTAAAGTAACTGGCTCAGCACCTGTAATCTCATCAGTACTAACAACAGGTGCATCAATATGCTCAACAAACTGAGAAGTATTACCTGCATCGCCTGAAGTAGAGGGGATATCAGCAGGGTGATGAGAGCGAGGACAACGAGCATACACCTGCAAAGGAAGAGAGACTGGTAACTCTGTACTGACAGGGATGAGTGACTCCTTTGGAGGAAAAACGGATGACCCTGTAGGGATAGTGATCAATGACTCTGACTCTTGTGGTAATGGAAAATCAAAGGGAGTATCATCAACTGGAGGGGCAGACAAAGGACTGAAAGGAAAATAAGGAATATGCTCAAGAAAGGTAACATCTAGACTGTGATACATACGACGCCTAATAGGATCATAACATCGATACCCCTTAGATTGATGACAATAGCCCACAAAGATACAACGAATCGCTTTATCATCAAGTTTATGACGAGTAGGAGACCGATCCTGAACAAAACATGTGCATCCAAAAACACGAGGGGGGACCGGAAAAAGTGTCCGCTCAGGAAATAAGACCTGTAAGGGAGCCTTATGCTGAAGAACACGACTCGGCGTACGATTGCACAGAAAGGTAGAAGTCAAAACAGCAAAATGCCAATAAGATTTTGGTACCCTCATGCCTCTAAGCAGACAACGTACCATCCCTATCAAACTCCTATTTTTCCTCTCAGCAACACCATTTTGCTCAGGAGTATATGGACAAGTGAGTTGCTGAAGGATACCCTGAGAAGAAAGGTGAGACACTAAAGCATCAGACACATATTCTTTGGCATTATCCGAACGAAGAGCACGAACAATGACATCGAATTGTGTCTTAATCATCTGTAAAAACTGAGTGATTATAGGGAGCACATCAGACTTCCTATGCAAAAGGTAGACCCAAGTACAACGGGTATGATCATCTATAAATGTCACATAATATCTGGCACCTGACAGAGCAGTAACGGGAGAGGGTCCCCAAATATCAGAGTGTATTAGGTCAAATGGCTTGGGTGACTGGTGCATGCGAGGAATATAATTGGCCCTAACATGTTTTGATAGGGAACAGATAACGCAATCAAGTTTACCACCAACACAAGCATTACTCAAAGCAGGAAACAACATACATAAATATTTAAAATTTGTATGTCCAAAACGGTCATGCCACAATTGAACAGTTTGTGACGAAAAATCATAACGACAACTACTAGGTAAAATACTAGCATGCAAGCTAGGAACAGAAAAAGACAAAGCAGGTGCAGGTGAAGGAATTGGTGAAACTGGAGATGGATTGCCAAGATAATACAGTCCATCTTTCTCATGTCCCTTGATAATAATCCTCCTGGTACTCAGGTCCTGCAAATAACACGAATCAGATAAGAATACAACCGCACAGTGAAAATCTCTGGCTAACTGATGTACAGATAATAGATTCATGGCCAACTTTGGCGCATGAAAAACCGAATGTAATGTAAGGTCATCTGGGAGACGGACTGTACCCCTACTAACAATAGGGGCATGTGTTCCATCTGCTAACTGAACCTGTGTATGTAACGGCTCGTCAAAAGTGGTGAAGTGATGGGCCTCACCTGTCATGTGACCATTCGCACCCGAGTCCAACATCCAAAGGGGAGATGAACTGGCACAAGCGTGAAAGGCACGAGATATACCTGTAGTGGTGACAGCAGCAGTAGTCAGACTCTGAGAAGTCAGAGCAGACATAAGTATATCTAATCGGGAAGTGATAGCATCCATATCACTTTGCCAAGGAGGAGCAGTAGCAGGAGTGGCGGTAGTAGGCGGTGGTACCTCAGCAATAGCAACAGTACGGCTGCGAGAAGGTGGCTTAAGCTCTGGATGGAGCTTCCAGCAAGTAGCCCTGAGATGTCCTGGTCGGCCACAATAATCACATTGACGGGAATCCCCCCGTCTGCGCTGATCTGGGGCGCCCTGACGGCGCTGGTCTGAGCGTTGCCCATCCCTGACTAAGGATCCTGAACGGGACCTTACAGCAGCTGCAAGGGCCATCTGGTCAATCGAAGGAGTCAAAGCTGCAACTGGAAGTGATGCAATACGGACTCGACGCTCATGCTGCTCAATCATCCCATACACCTCATAAAGAGAAGGAAGTGTCAACATCGACAAGATCTGAGAACGAGGTCCCTCAAACTCATCACGAAGCCCCATAAGGAACTTGTGAATCCTATCCTCCTGCTCTCGAGTATGCAAGAATGCTGCTCCCTCGGGCTCTATCTTCGGAATAGCAGCAAGAGGACGTAGAGACTCATACTCAAGCCAGCGCTGGGTCAAATAGCCATAATAATCCTGAACGGTCATATCTCCCTGCCGAGCATATGAGAGCTCCTGAGAAAGCTCATAAACACGAACTCCCCGTCCTGACTGAGAATACATCTCTGATAATGCGCTCCATAGCTTCGGAACAGAGCTATGAAACTGGTGGATCCTGCAAACAGAGGGCTCCATTGAGCCAAATAACCATCCAAGAATGGCACAGTTTTCAGAGAACCACGCAGAATATCCAGGGTCGGCATCAGCTGGCTTTGGGTGAGATCCAGTCAGCCAACCAAGCTTCCCTACACGGCCTAAGAAAAGCTGGAATGAGCGTGACCACTCAGCGAAGTTACGACCATTCAACAATTGTGCCGTAACTTTTTGAGAGATCATGCCCGGTAATGCTGGTAATGCAACTGTGCTAGTAGGCACTGTATACTGGTCAAACATAAAAGTGGAAGTACCCATAGATGTCTCAACGGTAGAGGTGTCAACAGTAGGGTTCTCAAGTCCCTCAGTAGTAGCCATATCAACAACAATACTAGGGCACCCGTGACAGAAAAATAACTCTAAGATAAATAGAGGAATAAAATAAGGGAGAACAATATACCTTCAGTCGAACAGTAGCGACAAATAAGGAAGGTCCAAAAAGCTCCCAAATAATCAAGTCACGGTGCCCAGAAATCCAATAAATATAAATGATCTACTGCATCAAGAGCAGATCAACAGACGGAGAAGAAGATTTAACCCCTCATAAAAAAAAAATCCTAGAGACTGCAACCTGGTAGCACTATGACGAAGAGTGCAAAGGATGAAGTTAAAACGAGAAACACGACCTGGCAGTGGGCTGAGCAGTGACCCAACAGTAGGCTAGGTGGTTGGGCGTCGTGTTTATTGGGCAGTGGGTTGGGTTACTGGGCTGGTCTAGTTTGGGACTATATTGGGTTGGGCAGTGGGTTTAGGACTAGTTTGGGACTATATTGGTTATTAGTGGACTGGTTTGATGTGTGGGCTATGTTGGCTGTCGGTGTGGTTATTGAGGGCAGTCGGTTGGAGGCAGTCGGTGGGGTTATTGAAGGCAGTCGGTTGGAGGCAGTCGGTGGTTGGGCTATATTGGTTGGGCTATTGGAGTTTCGCTAGGCAGCAGGTTGTCGATGTTTCTGGTTTTGGTTTTGGTTTCAGTCGGTGCTTTATGGGCAGTCACGCATGTTGCTGGGCAGGCTGTGGTTTCAGTCGGTTTCAGTCGGTGCTTTTGGTTTCAGTCGGTGCTTTATGGGCAGTGTTTTGGTTGCAGTCGGTGATTGAGGTTGCTTTATGGGCAGGCTGTGGGTTGCTGGGCAGTAAAGGTGTTGCTGGTTTTGCTTGAAGGCAGTTTGCCGGTGAGGCAATCTCGGTGGAGGCTAGGTTAGGGAGAAGGTTAGGGTTTGAGGTAGGGTTAGTGTATGGCTTTGATACCAACTTGGAATAAACGTAAGTGAAAAGGGATACTCAAATTAAGAGTAGAGCCCCATATATATATCCAAAAATAATACAGAGTGACTTAAACATCCTTATAGTTTAGGTAAAATATAAAAATCTTAGTAAGGGTAAAAAAGGGAAAAGAAATCCTAATAAACCAAGACTATCTATACTCTAACACTATGCATGCATATAAAATCTATTATCATTAGTACGACAATGAATTCACATCTAATTCTTCATATTGTACGCTAAAGATTCTTTTATTGGTATGATGAACAAACTTCCTCTAAATTGATACATAAAAAGATATTCTCGGAATAAGAAACAATACCTTAGCATAAATCCTTTGAGATTTGCTTTGACGGAGTCCCGTTTGTTAGGATTTTAATGTCAATATATTTAGTTCAAGAAACGAGAATTTAGCTATCAACATATTGGGTTGCCCTATGAATATTTCCCATTTTCACTTATCAAATTTTTGTATTATACTTTTTGTTTGGACTAACTATCTCAGGTACGAATCAAAGTTTATCCAAAAAATTATTGAGGAGGTTTGGAGTAAAGTGAACCCTACATTTTTGAATGTCGCCATCCATCCGGTTGGAATAGATTCTCCTGTCAAAGACATTTGTTTCTTACTAACCAGTGGACCAAATGATGTCCGCATGATAGGGATCTTGGGCATGGGCGGAGTAGGCAAAACGACCATTGTCAAAGCTGTCTATAATCTAATTTTTCAGCAATTTGAAGGTTCCTGTTTTCTTATGAATGTTAGGGAAGTTTCAGAACAACTCAATGGTCTACTTCATTTGCAAGAGCAAGTTCTTTCTGAAATTTTGAGAGTTCAAAATCTTAAAATTGACAATATTGATAGAGGAATCAATTGGATGAAAGAAAGACTTTGTTCTAAAAGAATTCTTCTCGTTCTTGATGATGTGGACCATGTTAGCCAACTAAATTCATTAGCCGGCAACCGTGATTGGTTTGGTCCAGGGAGTAGAATCATTATGACTACTAGAGATGAGCAATTGTTGAACAAAGTTAAAGTAGATGAGAAATATGAGGCTAAGGGGTTGAAATACGACGAGTCTCTGGAACTCTTCAGTTGGCATGCCTTTAAACAAGCCATGCCTTTAGAAGATTATTTGGATCTTTCAAATGGCATAGTAACCTATACCAAAGGGCTTCCATTAGCTCTTGAGGTTTTGGGTTCTTATTTGAATGCAAAAAGCATACGAGTATGGAGAAGTGCATCTGAGAAATTAAAACAAGTGCCTCCTTGTCAAATTCAGAAAAAACTAAGAATAAGTTTTGATGCACTAGATGATGATAAAATAAAGGATATCTTCCTTGATATTGCATGTTTTTTTATCGGTATGGATAAAGACTATGTCATTAACATATTGGATGGTTGTGGTTTCTTCTCAGAAATCGGAATTAGTGTTCTGATTAATAGATGTTTATTAAAAGTTAATGAACACAATGAATTAAGGATGCATGACTTAATTCGGGACATGGGAAGGGAAATAATTCGTGAAGAATCTTCTAAACAGCCTGAAAAACGTAGCAGACTATGGTATCATGAAGATGTATGTGACGTGCTAGAAACCCACAAGGTAAGACATCATTCTTTTAATGTTAACACTTTTCATATAGCTTTGAATACTCACTCACACACACACACACACACACACTCTCTCTCTCTCTCAATGTATATATATACATTCACACACACATTCGTCTCCCTTTCTATTGTCTATATCTTGCAAATTACTTGTGAAATAAGTTCTTGTTCTTTATAAAATTTAGGGAACAGATGCAATTGAAGGTATTGTCCTAGGATTGCCGCTCTTAAAGCATATACATTTGAGGACTAAAGCATTTGCAAGGATGGAAAAATTAAGATTGCTTCAAATTAATAATGTCTATCTTAACGGAAGCTTCGAACATCTATTTGGAGAGTTACGGTGGCTCTGTTGGCATTATTGCCCTTTGAAACATTTACCATCCAATTTTCATCTGAAGAATCTTGTTGTCCTAGACATGCGACACAGCACAATCAAAAAACTTTGGCCAGATATCAAGGTATTGAAATTTTGTACAATATCATTCTTTCTGTAAGATTCATACAAATTACATAATTTGTCTTGATGGGAAGACTAATTTTATTTTATTCATTTTCTTGAATATCTTAGTTTCTGAGACATCTAAAAGTCCTCAATCTCAGTCACTCTAAATTCTTAACGAAAATCCCAGACTTCAGTGGGGTACCAATGCTGCAGACATTGGTACTTGAAGGTTGTTCAACTCTATTTAAGGTTTACCCATCAATTGGACTTCTGGATAGGCTGGCTTGCTTGAGTTTGAAAGATTGCAAAAGCCTTAGAGATCTCCCGAGCAGCATTTGTGGCCTAGAGTCACTTAAACATCTTAATCTCAATGGCTGCTCAAATCTAAAAGAATTGCCTTATGATTTGGGTAATATGCAGTGCCTCAAAGAGTTGCTTGCAGATGGAACTACTCTTAAACAATTGCCCTTTTCTTGTAGATTTTTGAAGAACCTAACCAATTTATCATTACGAGGATGTAACAGAAATTTACCAGCCAAATCTTGGTTTTCACTCATTTTATCTAGTGTATCATCAAGAAGATCTCCTCATCCTCGTGGATTTCTACCATCCTCTATCTCGGGTTTGTGGTCCTTAAATTCTCTGAATCTCAGCAACTGTAATTTGTCCGACGGAGATATTCCGGCTGATCTTGGGAGTTTGTTGTCACTAAAGCAGCTGGACTTAGCGACCAATAATTTTCATAGCCTACCATCCAGCCTTTGTTGCCTAACTAAGCTAGATTCTCTCTGGCTGGATAACTGCAATAGTCTTCAATCACTTCCAGAACTTCCTCCTAATTTGCGGACACTAAGTGCAGATCATTGCACATCAATGGAAAAATTACCAAACCTATCAAACTTCAAAAGATTGGCAGCCTTGTTTCTTTCAAATTGCAATAGATTGACTAATATTCAGGGTTTGAAACACCTTGATTCCTTTCGAAGCCTTCACCGAAATGACAACTGCAATGCAAAGGCTAGTTGCTTTAAGGTTGATCTCTCTCTCTCTCTCTATATATATATATGTGTGTGTGTGTGTGTGTGTGTGTATGTCACTCTTATTATCATCTCTATTTAACAGGGAAACTTTTTAGAGAATACAACATGCTTTTCATTCCCAAGTGACCATGAGAAGATTCCTGATTGGTTTAGCCATCAAACAATAGGATCTTCAATATCTTTTGACATGCCATTGCACATTGAGCATAAGTTCCTGGGGATGTTTCTTAATGCTATTTATGCAACCAAGGAAGACGGTGTGATCGATGCTCCTTTAGCTGTTATCTCTGATAAAACCAACGGTTCTGAATGGATCCATCGTTCTACATTCCATCGCTTTCCAATGATCCAAGAATATTATAATTGGGTGAGTTATATACCACAAAGTTCTTTTGAACACCCAATAAAAGGTGGAGAAAGAATAGAGGTCTCTATCAAAATGAGCTCGTGTCTAGAAGTGAAACCAGATTTTCAAGGGAATAATCAGGGACAATTCTCATATGTTGATGCAAGTGTTCACAAGAATGAAGTGTTGAGCTATATACATCCAAAGAGAAGTCGTCATGCGGATCCAATTGAGACAAGCTACAATAAGGTAGGCAGAGACAGTAAAAGATCGAGGATCAAGCCTGGTTGGATATGAATTTTGGAACCCTACTGCGAGAGGGATGCCTCGCGAGCCGGGCTTTTACAAATGAGAGAATTCATGCATTTCATATTGAGAGTTCATACAACTTCTTACCTAGTCGAAGTTTGAGACTTGTTTCATTGCAAGAGTCCACCATTGAGTCCGAGTCCTAGACTAGGCTTGGTTGTGTTTGAATAGCATGTTTGATTTTACCATTCTAGTATTTGAGTTAACATTGATGGTTGTTACATTTTTGGACTTATAATAAAATCTCACTAGCATTAGCATCAGAGTGTCTGTAAATCTTATTTTTAGAAGATTGACATTATTTGTGTTCAATTGGTGTTATGTTCTTTGTGATTTAGATCTTTGGTAACCCGAAATCCCTAAGTACTCTTTATACTAGCATGTTTTTAAAATACATTCTCAAATTAACCCTATTTCTGCAAACTTGCACTCTTGCAAGATATGATTTTTCTTGCTCTTGATAAGAATCTATTAATTTTTTAGTTCTGTCATAAAAAAAAATGTCGCCAAAGAGTATTGGCAACGATCAGAAAAATACTCAATTCATTGTGCATTCTGTGGATTATGGTGATTAATAGTATATGATTATGTAACAAGCACATTTTTTTTCATCAATTCAGAGTGAGATAGTTGAAAAAACTTGCAAGAGCTAGTAGACGTATAAATCCCGTGCTATATTGGGTTTGGAACCAATTCCTTGAGCTTTTTAATGAACTTGAATAACTATTGGATTCTTGGCAACTCTCCTAAATACTTTAGTCCATGAGTAAATGACGTGCCTTTAATCGGATTGGAAAGGGAATTAATTTAAATACGCATAAACTGACCTGACACCCCTGACCATTGAACCAAAAAAAAATCTATTATATTGCATAAATTTTGATATTTGGATCCTGTTATTAAGGATGCCCATGAGTCGAGCCGGGCTAGGCCAGAGATATTTTTTTTGGTCCGAGTCTAAGCCCAAACCTTTACTCAGACGAGTTATCGGGCAAGCGGGGCCGGGTTTTGTGTATGGATAGGCTATCCGCAGCCCAACCTGTCACTCATCAGACAGGCCTCGTAGGCGGGCTTTCTAAGTGGGTTTTATATA